CAACGCACGTGTCGTGCCATAGAAGAGACCTCCATTTTTCAAAGGGTGCATGCCAGCTGCTCGCCACGATTCGCGGTCTGCCTCTGAGCCGTCTCGTTCCCTCTCTCGACATCGTCCGACTTACTGCCGCCAGCATTTCATCCCTCTGTACCGTCCACTCCCCCGATACGTGCAACATGGAGCGCAGCGTCTGCTGCCACGATTTGCTGTACACAGTGGACGGCATGTGGCACTTATATTGGGATACCTCCACGGCGAATTCAAAGTTATACCTCACAACTTTCTCCACCAACGTTTTGAACCCCCCCTCCTTGAACATCTCCCTGGATCTATTGGTACTGCGATCCCTGAACTCCTCCCACGTGTCCGTCTCTTTTCTATGTAATCCTCGCGTTGTGTTCAAACATATTCCTTCAAAGCTTCTCAATTTGTTAAGCACATGTTCATGACAGCTCCACCCCACACATCCATGGCATATGATCTGTTGAACTCTGCTCTGGTACCGTCTGATTTTTTCCCTCATGCTCACCGCCCGTGATCGATAGAACTTAATATCAGCATAGAAACAACGCCTGCCTGCATCAATACGGTGCCGCACTGCATGGAAATCCCTCGGGTTCGTCACAAATTTAACCCCCAGTATGTCGCACTCACTTTTTCTCGGCAGAACCACCGCCTCACGCAATTGATAGGGTAGGCTGGGGTCTCCAGCCCGTATACAAATATCATCTCCCAGTTCACATACTAATGATTGTGGCACCTGATTCTGTCTCAGGCCAAAAACCAAATACTCCAGACTCTCAGTTTTCCAGTCCATACCAGCCCGTCTGAGGGCAACAGTCAACATACTCACCATATTCCTCAGCTGATTCGCCGAGGCTGCCAACAGCACCACGTTATCAGCCCATATGTAATGGCTGACCAACGCCTGTTGTGTCCCGTCGCCCTCCAATCGTACTCCATAGTTACATGCCTCCCATGTTTCAATGATAGAAGCCCAAATTGCCTCCAACACAATATTGAAGAGTACTGGGCCTTCTTTACCTCCAGTTCGCACCGATTTGTTATACAGGATCTCTTCACTGCACACATCCTGGAAATCAAAAACTGCTGTGTTTCCAATCATAGGCTCCACAATTGCAATGATCAAATCTGCTGGATACCTCAAATGTTCCATCGCGCGGATCACCATCGAGACCGTCACATGATCGAACGCTTTCTTTATATCCATTATCCCCATATGTACCGACTCGCCTTTTCCCCAGAGTGTGGCATGACGTGTCATATGCAACAGGGGGGCCGTCATGTGATGCACTTTGTGACTCTTCTGGAATCCATATGTCGCCAGCTTTTTGATATGTCCATGTTCCTCCACAAGAATAAGAAGGCACGCCATGTACCACTTGCTCATAACACTTAACAGCGATATTGCACGAGTCTCCCCAAATGTTTGGACCATGCTCATTTTTGGAATCAATTGTACGCACACCTTCCTCCATGAATCTGGTGACGGCTTTTTCTGATCATGAATTTCTTGAAATGAGTGTCGTATCAATCTCAATGCATTCCAAGGTATTGCTTTGAGAATCTCCGCCACCAGGCCATCAGAGCCCGCTGCGGTGCCGCCCTTCAATCGGGCTCGAGCCCCCAGCAACACACCCATAGATATGACCCTGTTCGTAGTTCTGCCCTCTGCCTCCCACTGTGTCCGTAGTCGATGCAACTCTCTCTTTGCAGCTCCTCCCTCCCCATCACATGTATATGACCGTTGTACGTGTTTGTTGAGCTCCTCCACCCATCTTTGTTTATTTTCTGTCAGTATCCCGTCACACACCATTTCCTTGATACACCTACGGGGTCCATGTTTGGGGCCATTGGAGTCCTTGAGGAGCTGTTCCCGCCTGAACTTTCTTCGGAGTGTTTTTTGACGTCGCAATAATAATTTCCTACGCTCACCGAATTTCCTACGCAATAATAATTTCCTACGAGTTAAGTCTAGAAATCATGACAGTCTACCCCAAAAAAAAAGCATAATACGAATAGTGTTTCGGCTCCAGCAAGCATAGCAGACCGAGTTCAGGCGTCTAGATACTGCAGACTGCTGTGCCGAAGAGCTTCGTAGCTCATCTGCAGCTCGAGCTTACATCATCTCCAAAAAATAATAGAGTACGAATAGTTTCGCGGACCTAGCTCGAGTAACAGACCGAGTTCAGACATCTGGATACTCCAGTCAAACGCGCCTGACGGTTCTAGGTCGACTAGGTGTGCGCATCAGCTCTGTAGTTATCCTACAGATCGATTTAAATTGAAAAAACCGACAGCACCTGTCAAGATGACGCGAAACAGCCGCTCCCACCAAAGTGCTTTTTGGCAGTAATACTGGCGCCGGCGGTGAACCGTCAACCTGGTCACCGCCGGGAACCTCGTAGAGCTCCTTGCACGCGTCAGAGTGCCGAGAATCGAAGCAGAGAACTTCGCAGAAATTTGTTTGAAATCTTCATTTTTGCACTTTTGAATTTTTGATGTCAATATGAGGTCGGGCCCCTGGCTTCGCTCGGGAGAATTTTTCGACGGAATGAGCTAAGAATTCGGGAGGTAACTTCTGTCATGCAAAGCTTCGCTCTGCGCAATGAGCAGCCCACACGGATGGATAAAATTGCAAAATCGGCTGAGCCAGGCCGCGGAAGGTACGATTGCGCCCCTTTTCGAAATGGGCGCCGGCGGTAAACCGTCAACCTTGGTTTTTGCGGTCTTTGCGATCGACTATGCAGGCCGTCAGGCCCAGTCGCTAGCAGGAAGACGGGCGGCATACAGAGTCAGGCAAGACACCCACCACTCTTTGAGCGAAAGTGGGCACATGCGAAACTCTTATCCCGAACAAAGCGAAAAGCACGCGGAGCTCTTATACCAACATGCGCGCATGCCCGACACACACACACACACACAGCATGGCAAGAGCCAATGCAAACACAAAGTCCGAAGTATGTCGAAACCGCAGAGGCGCATCGATGATGCGACAACCGACCGTGTTCCGACATCTCCATCAAAGAAACAACACACAAACCAAAGAATGCAAGAGAATGGTGCGCACCCCAAACAAAGAAATTACGCCGAGAGAATCATAAAGAAGTCAAGAGCGACGTCATCGCCACATTTTCCTCCCGAGTCAACTTTCCACTCCGTTTCCTATGATAACTCACGTGCAAGAGATTGAAACGGCACTGGAGACGTTCGGGATCATTCAGATTGCGCTCGTCTTTCATCCACGTTCCCAGCAGGTCCCTCTGGGTCTCATCGAAACGAAAAATCATGTCAAGCGTAGCTTCACACTGCTCGTTCTGCAGATGTGTTTGTCGATGCTCCTCCAAAGAGGCCATGTAAACGCTTGAAAACTCTCCATCACCTGGCGGCATTGGTGCGCTCGGAATCTGGCCAAAGAAAAAATTGCAGCACCTTCCCACACCTTCCAAAACCATAGCCGAAATCCACTCCTTCATCCTCCGGGAGACTCGTAAAGCTTCCTTGCTCATCTACAGCTCGAGTTAAATCATGAAAACCAATACCAATACCATTTCAGGCGTCTAGATACTCTTAACTAGCGCCTCTGATGACTCCCTTCCGATTGCTGTGCTCAACATCTCTGTAGCTCATCTGCAGCGCGAGTTAAGTCAAGAAAACCACTACCATCTCCAAGAAATTAGCAGAGTACGAATAGTGTTTCAGTCCGAGCGCTGATAGCAGACTGATCTCAGGCGTCCAGATACTTTCAAATAGCGCGCCCGATGATTTCCTTCCGATTGCTGTGCCTAAGAGCTCTGGAGCTCATCTGCAGCTCAAGTTAAGTCAAGAAAACCAAGTTCATCTCCAAAAAAATCTGAATACTTGTTCGGCTTCTGCGCTGATAGCAGACCGAGTCCAGGTGTCGAGTAGCGCGCCGGATGATTATCTTGCGATTTATGTGCCGAACAGCTCTGTAGTTGATCTGCAGCTGGAGTGGAGTCAAGAAGATCATCACCATATCGACCAAAATAGCAGAGTAGACATAGCGTTTCAGCCCCAGTGCTGATAGCAGACTGATTTCAGGCGTCTAGATACTCAGAACTATCGCGCCTGATGATTTCCTTCCGACTTCTGTGCCGAACAGCTCTGTAGCTCATCTGCAGCTCGAGTTAAGTCCAGAAAACCAGCACCATCTCCCAAAAATTTGGAGAGCACAAATAGTTGTTGGACTCGAGTGCTGATAACAGACCGAGTTCGGACGTCTAGATACTTGGGACTAGCACGCCTGATCAATGGTCCGAATATCCGTGCCAGAAAGCCCTTTAGCTCACCTGAGGCTCGAGTTAAGTCAAGAAACTCATCATCATCTTAAAGAAAAAACTAGAATACGAATAGCTTCGCGGACCTAGCTCGAGTAGCAGACCAAGTTCAGACATCTAGATGCTTCAGACGAACGTGTCTGATCATTCTGGATCGATTCGGTGTGCGTACCAGCTCTGTAGCTATCCTACAGCTCGAATTAAGTACGGAAAACCGACAGCACCTGTCAAGAGGACCAGAACAGCCGATCCCGCCTGGATGCTCTGTGGCAGTACTAGGTACCCGATCGAGCTGAGATTAAAATGGCGAGCAGAAATAAGATCGAATATCATGAGAAAAATACTAGAGCTCTGACGAAATGTTGAATTTCCAGAAAATAATTTTCAACCGAGCAAAAATCAGCAAAAGGTCCGTCGAGATTTTTCGAGCCAACTAGCCCTCCAGCGCGCCGGGATTACTCTTAAGCTCCAGCAACTAGCTAAGGGAAGCTCTACGAGTTATTTCGCTAACTGGCTCCACCCTGTCGCCGAATTCCTCTAGCTCTGTTACCATCAGAGCTCAACAAGGTATGTACCCGATCGATCGGAGATTCAGATGGCGAGCGGCAAGAAGATCGAATATGAGGGGAAACAATACTAGAGCTCTAAGGAATGGTTGAATTTCGAGAAATCGAATTTAAACCGAGCAATTGGTAGCGTCCACTGGGAGCCGGCGGTAAACCGTCAACCTTGGTTTTTTGAGTTTGAGTCAGGGCGCGGACAGCTGTGACAGCTGAGCCCTAGGACTCCCAAACGGAGCACAGGGTAGCTAAAGAAGGCATCTCTTATCATCACACTGCCGAGCCACTGAGGCATAGGCATCGGAATCGGATGCAGGAACAAGGAAAAGGATGCAGCACGACATGTGAAATTGCAAAGGTGTAGGAACAGGTTAGAGATGAAAGAAGCTACCCAAAACGTGCACCACGGCCATACAGAGCCGCTGCGCTGCAAACATCACACAAAACACGACAGAAGCAGAGGCATCAAGCGAGAAAGCTTCCTCCGCCACGAACAGCCACGTCCCGTGCACACACAAACCTAAACACCATTCTGCAGCACATCCCTCCACAGAGCGACCTCCGTCGAAGAATCCACGGAGGCCGTCTAGTTTTGTTTTGCTCGCATGTTCAATAAGGGAAGTATGGAATACAACGTAACAATTTCTGGTTCTGGCCAACCATGTCAGCCTATGTGCAATCACTAAATCAATCAATCAATTGGGTATCCCGCCTTGGCCGCCAACTCGCGGTAGTTCTTTACATTGCGACGCATCCATTCATCCTGAAAATTCGTCACGTATCTCATGGCTTCCGTAACGCTTTTGGGAACGAGTCTGCGGTGACGAAAGTCTCTGATATCAGTCGACAGATGGGTCAAATTGGTTATCGGGCCAAGTCTCGCGCGATCCCGAAGAAGCGCTTCAAGCAACACCGGCTTTTCCTCGGCACCCGAGGCCATAAGGCGATACAGCGTGGCAGCCGTGAAAGAGTGAACGAGCTTTACCCAGCCAGACTTGCGGAAGCAGTATTTCCTGATCCTTAAATTACACGCCAACTGAAGCAAATAACCTGCGCGGTTACGTCCTCGTCCTCCGTCACTGCTGAACTCACAACTGCATTAGATAAACTCCCAGTCGTGGAACTCCCAGGGTGCGAAGCCATAGAATATTTATCATGAGGAGGCCAAAAGGTTACACGAAGGTTCCTAATGTGGCTCTGCAAGCGTTGTTCCATCAACCGTTGAGCACCACTTGAGTAGAATGTCAAGCACCGCCAATGTCCGAAGCACCACCCCGCAATACGGTGCATCCTTATCTTGTCCAACCGACACTGCTCCCAGAGTCTCTGGATGTCCGCGTCCTCCTCCCCATCACGGTGGTAAGCCTCACACAGACGGTGCAGAGTAGCCTGTTTCAAATAGAAATTTGCCCTCTCTCGCAGGGTGGCCATTTTATCCCATGCGTGGAAGACCGCATCCCAATCAGCGTCCTCCTTCTGCAGGTGGTCCGCCACGAGCAGGCGCGCGATGTGCCTCTGGAGCACCCATGTGGTAGCCGTGCCGGCGCACTCGACGTGATTTGAAGAACTGCACAAGTCCGCAAAAGAGGACGGAGGTTGGGGAGGATCGCAAGTAGATGGATGGGCCGACTTTGACATAGAAGAGCCAGTTAGAACTGCCTGAGCCTTCGCCCTTGCCCGCCTCCTGTTTCTGCGGTGCCTCTGGCCTTTCCCACGGCCAGCATCCCCCTCTGGACTCGGCGCCTCCTCGGGACTCTCAATTCCCATTCGAAGTTTGTATGCCTTGAGCGCCTCGATCCGAGCATGAAACTCATCTTTGGGGAGCCGTTCGAATTCCCGCCAAAGAGCAACTGCATCGCCATTGGCACGGGCCCAGTCCCTGGCAGCTTGACACTCAGATCGATTGCTCTGCAACTCATCTGAACAGAGCCGGGAAGAAGAAGCACAGTTATCTTTACGCTGGTCAACTTCGCACTCTCCGTGGGTTTTCGAGGATGCCAACGGCAGCGCCTCGGGGCCTCCACCTTCCCTTTGCACTCGAGAATAATCCAAAGGAACTGAGCGCAGAGAATAATCCAAAGGAGCTGAGTGCAGAGAATAATCCAAAGGAACTGAGCGCAGCACAGCATCATTTGATTGAGAAGCAACCGACGCTTCTTCAGCAGCAACTGCCGTAGAACTCTCCACGGATTCAACATGAACATTATCCTCCCCCTCGTCCTTGAAATCCTCAAGATCCCCCTTCCAATCCTTTCCACGGCAAGCTGAGTCTCCGTCAGAAGCTGAAGTGTGGCAAACTTCAGGGAGTGAGGCCGTATAATATGTATGATGAGAATAATGCAACTGCTCATTCAGCAACTCCTCATTCTGCAACCCCACACCCTGCAACTCCTCATCATGCAACTCCTCTTTCCGAACACCTGGGTCAACAGAAGCCGACAGAGTGTCAGGAAATGGAGTGTGGCAAACTTCAGAGCTTGAATCCAAGAAAACAGTATGCTGATAAAAATGCAACTTCTCATTCAGCACCTCCTCACTCTGCAAATCCTCACCCTGCAACTCCTCATTCTGAACACCAGGATCAAAAGAAACAGAGCCCAGTCTGGACTGCAGCCCACCATCTGGACTGCACCACATCTGGAGAATACGCAACCGAATGAGACGAGAAAGCTTCTCCACGATCAGTTGGCCCAGCAGTTGGCACCGATAAGGAACTCAACAATATACTGACCTGCTCCTCCGAGTTTCCCTGAAACGGGCATGGGTTTCGCGCACAATCATCGAGGTTATCAAACCAGCCAAACGCGGGGAAAGTATTCGGATCAGCCACAAAATATGGATCACGAGCATTAAACTGCATAACATCAAATACAGCTTGTCTACAAATCGCCAGTTTGATTATCCTTGTTTTTCTTTTCCAACTGGTCGAAACAGAACTCATCGAACAAAATTGCGCTGTCATGATGCCGCACAAAGAAGGGGCACGCAAGAACAACTAATCAATCCAATGCCGACAGATCACCCGTTCGGTACTCAGAGATGTACGTCACGTGCGCATGCACAACCTGTCCGCACGACGCGGCTCGAGGAGTCCCCGACGGGCCAAGGCCGCGGGAGAGCGGGAGGTAGGCTCCGCTTCCGCAACCTCGGTTACCGCCGGGAACTCGTAGAGCTTCCTCGTGCAATGCGGGCGCGGCAATCTCGCATTGCGCGCGCGATGACGCGGTCTCATGAAGGAGGACAAGCACTTTTTTTTTGTTTTTTTCTTTTTTTTTATATAAAAAAAAAAAAAAAAAAAAAAAAAAAAAAAAAAAAAAAAAAAAAAAAAAAAAAAAAAAACTGCGTGGGGCTCCCCATACGTGCATCTACTCGCATGGACCTGTCCGCCGTGAATGTCTAGGCGCAAGAGCTTTCGAATATTAACAGGCTTCAGTTGTGACGGTCTGGACATCAATCTAACTGCGAATGAATTGGAGTGTGAATGAGCCTCAGTAGTACGAGCGCGTCTCTGTGCATGAGCCTGGGGCCTCCTGGGGCCTCCTGAAACCTACTGGGGCTTCCTGGGGTCTCCAGGAGCCTCTTGGGACCTCCTGGGACCTCCTAGGAAGGTTTCGTGCCCCAGGAGAGGCGCAATCTATAGCAACAGACGTACATAAAACATTGCGGATTAGAGCCACAGGAGAAGGGCAATCTATAGGAACACGCGTAAAACACCAAGGACTCGTGCCCCAGGAGAGGCCCAATATATAGGAACATGAGTAAAACATTTAGGATTGTGTACACAAGAGAAGGACCATCTATAGAAACATACGTAGAACATCAAAGAATCGTGCTCCAGGTGAGGCCCAATCGATAGGAGCATACGTAAAACACATGGGATTGGAGCCACTCCTGTTGCCTTCTGAGGCCTCCTGCTCCTGGGGCCTCTCGGGGCCTCCTGTTGCCTTCCGAGGCCTCCTGGCGCTTCCTGTTGCCTCCTGGGGCCTCCTGTGGTTTCCTGAGGCCTTCTGGAGCTTCCTGGGGCCTCCTGGAGCCTCTTGGGACATCCTGTGGCCTCTTGAGTCTTTCTGTGGCCTCCTGATGCCTCCTGGTACCTCATGTGGTCTCCTGGGGCCTCCTGGAGTCTGGCCCACCTGGGGGGTGATAATGAGCGCCTCGCTCGAGACATCCTCCAAATCTGCTCCGAAAGCGAAGGATTTTGGGCCCAGAAACAAGCAAACCGCCTGAGACATCCCCACAAAATGGCAGCGAACGAGCCCGTGCAACCACCCCTGGCGGCTCCCCTTAGGGCCACGAGCCTGGCCACCAAAACAAGCAAACCGATCGAGACATCCTCAAAGTCTGGCCCACCTGGGGGGTGAAAATGAGCGCCTCGCTCGAGACATCCTCCAAATCTGCTCCGAAAGCGAAGGATGTTGGGCACAGAAACAAGCAAACCGCCTGAGACATCCCCACAAAATGGCCGCGAACGAGCCCGTGCAACCACCCCTGGCGGCTCCCCTTAGGGCCACGAGCCTGGCCACCAAAACAAGCAAACCGATCGAGACATCCTCAAAATCTGGCCCACCTGGGGGTGAAAATGAGCGCCTCGCTCGAGACATCCTCCAAATCTGCTCCGAAAGCGAAGGATGTTGGCAGAAACAAGCAAACCGCCTGAGACATCCCCACAAAATGGCCGCGAACGGGACCGTGCAACACCCCTCGGCGGCTCCCCTTAGGGCCACGAGCCTGGCCACCAAAACAAGCAAACCGATCGAGACATCCTCAAAATCTGGCCCACCTGGGGGGTGAAAATGAGCGCCTCGCTCGAGACATCCTCCAAATCTGCTCCGAAAGCGAAGGATGTTGGCAAGACAAACAGGCAAACCGCCTGAGACATCCCCACAAAACGGCCGCGAACGGGACCGTGCAACACCCCTCGGCGGCTCCCCTTAGGGCCACGAGCCTGGCCACCAAAACAAGCAAACCGATCGAGACATCCTCAAAATCTGGCCCACCTGGGGGGTGAAAATGAGCGCCTCGCTCGAGACATCCTCCAAATCTGCTCCGAAAGCGAAGGATGTTGGCAAGACAAACAGGCAAACCGCCTGAGACATCCCCACAAAACGGCCGCGAACGGGACCGTGCAACACCCCTCGGCGGCTCCCCTTAGGGGTGCTGAAACCAGCGCCCCGCCTGAGACATCCTCGCAATCTGCTGTTTATCGAATAAGTCAGACAATGAGAAGGTCTGAGTATGAGTAATTCTGAGTATGAGTAAGTCTGTGTATGAGGAACTCTGAGTAAAAGGAGGAGGAGAAGGAGGAAGTCTGAGTATGAGTAAGTCTGAGTATGAGTAGGTCTGGGTATGAGTAGGTCTGAGTATGAGTAAGTTAATGTGATCAGGTCTGAGTATGAGTGAGTCTGTGTATGAGTAAGTCTGTGTATGAGTAAGTCTGTGTATGAGTGAATCTGAGTATGAGTGAGTCTAAGTAGGAGGAGACGAGAAGAGGGGAGGAGGAGAAGAAGAAGGAGTAGGAGGCGTCCAAGTAATAACAAGAACCCCATCTTAGGATATGGGGAAAAAATGTTCAGGCTTCTGGACACTGTACACTAGCGCGCCTGTTGATTTCCTTCCGATGGCTGCGCAGAAGAGCGTAAAGAAAACCATCCCCATCTCTACAACAATTTAGCAGAGTACGAATAGTTTTCCGATCCCAGCGCTGATATCAGACCTAGTTCAGGCGTCTAGATACTTGAAACTAGCGCGCCTGATTATTTCCGTTCAACTGATGTGCCGAACGGCTTTGTAGCTCTTTTTGCAGATCGAGTTAAACCAAGAAAACAAATACCATCTCCAAAGAATTGGAGTACGAATAATTTTTTTCAGCTTCAGCGCTGATAGCCAGCCGAGATCAGGCGTCTAGATAAGTTGAATCAGCGCACCTGATGATTCCCTCCAGACTGGGAGCCGGCGGTAAACCGTCAACCTCGGTTTTTTTGAGTTTGAGTCAGGGCGCGGACAGCTGTGACAGCTGAGCCCTAAGACTCCCAAACGGAGCACAGGGTAGCTAGAGAAGGCACCTCTCATCATCACACTGCCGAGCCACTGAGGCATAGGCATCGGAATGGGATGCAGGAACAAGGAAAAGGATGCAGCAAAACATGTGAGGATGCAAAGGTGTTGGAACAGGTTAGAGAATGGTGTAAGAGCTGGTTGAAACGCTACCCAAAACGTGTTCCACGGCCATACAATGCCGTTTTACTGCATTGATCAAAGCAACAGTCGATCAGCAGCATATACTTCCACAGACCGCCCTCCAACGAAGAAACCGTGGAGGCCGACTAGTTCATGTTTACGTTGTATATCCAGCGCCAGGCGCCAGTTAAGGCCACAGTTAAGGCCAAAAGGTTACACAAAGGTTCCTAATGTGGCTCTGCAAGCGTTGTTCCATCAACCGTTGAGCACCACTTGAGTAGAATGTCAAGCACCGCCAATGTCCGAAGCACCACCCTGCAATACGGGGCATCCTTATCATGTCCAACCGACACAGCCCACAGGTTCTCTGGATGTCCGCGTCCTCCTCCCCATCACGGCGCAAAGCCTCACAGAAACGTTGCAGAGCAGCCTGTTTCAAGTAAAAATTTGCCCTCACTCGCTGGGTGGCCATATTATCCCATGCGTGGGAGGCCGCATCCCAATCAGCGTCCTCATCGCACTCTGATTGATAGTTATGCAACTCACCCACCTCCGTCTCCTTGTCGCCTTCGGGCAACAAGGGCACAATTGGGGCGGGTAGAGCGGCAGAAACTGAATCGTGAAAAGAGGACGGAGGTTGGGGAGGATCGCAAGTAGATTGATGGGCCGACTTTGACATAGAAGAGCCAGTTAGAACTGCCTGAGCCTTCGCCCTTGCCCGCCTCCTGTTTCTGCGGTGCCTCTGGCCTTTCCCACGGCCAGCATCCTCCTCAGGAGGCGGCGCCTCCTCGGGGCTCTCAATTCCCATTCGAAGTTTGTATGCCTTGAGCGCCTCGATCCGAGCATGAAACTCATCTTTCGGGAGCCGTTCGAATTCCCGCCAAGGAGCAACTGCATCGTCATTGGCACGGGCCCAGTCCCTGGCAGCCTGACACTCAGATCGATTGCTCTGCAACCCATCTGAACAGAGCCGGGAAGAAGATGCACAGTTATCTTTACGCTGGTCAACTTCGCACTCTACGTGGGTTTTCGAGGATGCCAACGGCAGCGCCTCGGGGCCCCCACCTTCCCTTTGCACTCGAGAATCATCCAAAGGAACTGAATGCAGAGAATAATCCAAAGGAGCTGAGTGCAAAGAATAATCCAAAGGAAATGCGTGCAGCACAGCATCATTTGATTGGGAAGCAAGCGACGCTTCTTCAGCAGCAACTGCCGTAGAACTCTCCACAGACTCAACATGAACATTCTCCTCCTCCTCGTCCTTGAAATCCTTAAGATCCCCCTGCCAATCCTTTCCATGGCGAGCCGGGTCTGCGTCAGAAGCTGAAGTGTGGCACACTTCAGAGCGTGAAGCCATATAATATGTATGATGAGAATAATGCAACTGCTCATTCAGCAACTCCTCATTCTGCAACCCCACATCCTGCAACTCCTCATCATGCAACTCCTCTTTCAGAACACCTGGGTCAACAGCGGGAACATTTGAATCGGGAACACCATGATGTGACGAAACCTCCTCCTCCTGTCTCTGCGAATAATCAGACCCAGCCGGCGACCAAAGGTTATGCGAATCAACATAAGCAACTTCAGCAATCAGATGCAAGTCCGATTTCTTGTCTTTCTCACAGGTCTTCGGCTCTGGCACCGATAAGGAACTCAACAATATATTGACCTGCTCCTCCGAGTTCCCCTGAAACGGGCATGGGTTTCGCGCGCAATCATCGAGGTGATCAAACCAGCCAAACGCGGGGAAGGTATTCGGATCAGCCACAAAATATGGATCACGAGAATTAAACTGCATAACATCAAATACAGCTTGTCTACAAATCGCCAGTTTGATTATCCTCGTTTTTCTTTTCCAACTGGTCGAAACAGAACTAATCGAACAAAATTGCGCTGTCATGATGCCGCACAAGGAAGGGGCACGCAAGAACAACTGATCAGACAGAGAAATCAATCCAACGCCGACAGATCACCCGTTGGGTACACAGAGATGTACGAGAGAAGCGAAATCTGGCGGGGCAAAATCTCCTGCCCGCACGATGCGGCTTGAGCCAGGGGACCTTGAGCCAAAATGGCTTGAGCCAAAATGGCTTGAGCCAGGGAACCTTGAGCCTCGGTTACCGCCGGGAACTCGTAGAGCTTCCTCGTGCAATGCGGGCGCGGCAATCTCGCACTGCGCGCGCGAGGGCGCGGTCTGCTGGAGGAGGACGTGGAGGAGAAGAGGGAGCGAGGGAAAAAGCATCTCTGGAAAAATACTGAAAATACCAGACCGAGGTCAGGCGTCTGGACACTTTGAGCTAGCGCGCCTGTTGATTTCCTTCCGATTGCTGCGCCGAACAGCGAGAAGAAAACCATCACCCTCTCTAAAAAATTAGCAGAGTGCGAATAGTTTTCGGCCCCAGCGCTGATAGCAGACCGAGTTCAGCCGTCTAGATACTTTTGAACTAGCGCGTCTGATTATTTCCTTCCAGCTTTCGTGTCAAACAGCTATGTAGCCCATCTGCAGCTCGAGTTAAGTCAAGCAAACCAATACCATCTCCCAAAAAAATGACGGAGTACGAATAGTTGTTCAGCCCCATCGCTGATAGCAGACCGAGGTCAGGCGTCTTGATACTTCAGACTATCATGCCTGCGATTTCATTTCCGTTGCTGTGCCGAACAGCTCTGCAGCTCATCTGCAGCTCGAGTTGAGTCAAGAAAAGCATCACCATCTCTTAAAGATTAGCAGAATACAAATAGTGGTTCAGCCCCGGTGCTGATAGCAGACCGAGATCAGGCATCTCGATACTTTGAACTAGCGCGCCTGAGGATTTTCTTCCGATTTCTGTGCTGAACAGCTCTGTAGCTCATCTGGAGCTCGAGGTAAGACAAGAAAACCCGCACCATCTCCAAGACATTAGCAGCGTATAAACAGTTTTGTCAGCCCTAGCGCTGATAGCAGACCATTTCAAGCATCTGCATACTTTGTACGAGCGCGCCTCATGATTTCGTGCCGAGTGCTGCGCCGAACAACTCTGTAGCTCATCTGAGGCTCGATTCAAGTCACGACAACCATCATCATCTGCAAACAAATAGCAGAGTACGAATAGTTTTGCAGCTTCAGCGCTAATAGCAGACCGATTTCAGGCATCTTGGTACGTCAGACTATCGCGCCTGCTGGTTTCCGTGCGATTGCTGTGCCGAAGAGCTCTGTAGCTGATATGCAGCTCGAGTAAAGTCAAGAAACATATTATGATCTCGAACAAAAAAACAAACAACAAAAAAAAATATATAAAAAAGGAGAAAAAAAAAAAACAACAACAACAAAAAAAAACAAAAAAAAAAAAAAAAAAAAAAAAAAAAAAAAAAAAAAAAAAAAAAAAAAAAAAAAAAAAAAAAAAAAAAAAAACGAGAGTACAAATAGTTTCGCAGACCTAGCTCGGGTAGCAGACCGAGTTCAGACATCTGGATACTTCATACGAACGCGCCTGACGATACTAGAACGATTGGGTGTGCCTACCAGCTCTGTAGCTATCCTACAGCTCGAGTTAAGTCCAGAAACCCGACAACACCTGTCAAGATGACACGAAACAGCCCATCCCGCCAGAGTGCTTTTTGGCAGTAATAGGTACCCGATCGACCTGAGATTAAGACAGCGAGCAGGAATGAGATCGAAGATGGGGGAAAAATAGGGGAGCTCTACCGACCTGCTGAATTTCGAGAAATGGAATTTAAACAAGTTGGAAGAAAAAATCCGTCGAGATTTGTTTGCCAACTAGCCCCCCAGCGCGCCGGAATTACTCTTCTATCTTGGCCGCTAACGCTCTTAGGGAAGCTCTACGAGTCATTGATGTGCTGACCAGCTCTGTAGCTCACCTGCAGCGCGGGTGGAGTCAAGAGAAGCAGTACCATCTCCAAGAAATTAGCAGGTATGAGTAGTCTTTCAGCCCGAGCGCTGATAGCAGACTGATTTCAGGCGTCTAGATACTGTCAACTAGCGCGCCGATGATTTCCTTCCGATTGCTGTGCCGCACAGCTCTGTAGCTCATCTGCAGCTCGAGTTAAGACAAGAAAACCAATTACATATCCCGAAAAATAGCGGAGTACGAATAGTGTTTCTGTTTCTGCGCTGATAACAGACCGAATTCAGGCGTCTAGATACTTTAGACTACCGCGCCTGATGATTTCCTCCCGATTTCTGTGCCGAAGAGCTCTCTAGCTCATCTGCAGCTCGATTGAAGTGACGAAACTCATCATCATCTCGGAAAAAATCGGTGGAGTACAACTAGTTCTGTGGGCCTAGCTCTGGTAGGAGACCGATTTCAGACCTCTGAATGCTGGAGACGAACGCGCCTGGTGATTCTGGATCGATTAGATGTGCATACCAACTCTGTAGCGGTCCTACAGCTCGAGTAGAAGTTCAGAAAACCGACAGCACCTGTCAAAACTGGGAGCCAGCGGTAGACCGTCAACCTTGGTTTTTTGCTTTGCGCAGAGCCACAGGCCTGAGTTCAGGCCCGCTCGAGTCACAGCCTAACGCAGAAGAGGGGCAACAGGCCAAGCGCCTGCAGGACCGCCACCACACCTTTGAGTAGGTGCTTTGCAGCAAGAAGTTCAGCCTGGGTCACTGCACACGAGGGCGGGAGACAAAGGGCTTCAGAGGCGACATCGCACCACCAGTAGCCACTCGGGGATGCGGAGCCGTCAAGATTATTAAGATGATCAGATGAGAGGGAAGCGATGGGAGAAAGTACAGATCGAGGACCCAGCCGCCGCCACAACCCTCAGAGGAGCGGCCTCCGTCGAAGAAGCCCCTCACACCGAGCACGCTCGAAGCATTCATTGTAAACAACCTGTCATCGATTGTCGAGTGGTCCTGGCCCCTCCGAGCCATCCAGGTCTGTTCATCAGCTCTCGTGTTCCCTTCCCGATAAATCCATTTCATCATATCACATCCCCCGGAGGGGGCCCGAATGCGCATGGGCATCTCCACAGACATAGAATAAAGTAAGTCCTGAATAGCAGAAACCGTCGTCGAGTACACGTCAGTAGTACATCTAAACAGACCGTGCATCCAGTTACAGATCACCAGAGAGCCCCCCGAGATTTCAATAGGTAAACCTTTGGACCCAAAGTCCCACCAAGACTGACGTTGTTCGTTCAGAGAAATACGTTTTGTAGCCTTCTCCTTTTCCGCCTCCTCCTTCCTACGCTTCTCCTCCACCGCAAGGTCCTCCGCCTCCACCCTGTAGGGCCCTTTGGGATCTCTGAGGACACAGTATTGGAGCACGTGCGGTAGATCCCACATACTCAGCAGCGCACGGACAAAATATCTCCACCCGTCCTCGTCCCAGGTCAAGTTAGCATACCAGTAGGCACCTCCCACCGTCTCGAACGGTAGCGACCATGGATGGAAGCCTGCAGGGCGGCCGCCCTCGCGGCGCCTGGTAAGCACACGGGCTTCCTTCCAATCGAGAGTGCGAATGAAAGCATCCCTCTCCTCGGTCCAAGGCGACACAGCACGCAGCATGCACAAGCGTGAGAGGGAGTGAGGATGGTACGTTTCAGGCCCCAGGTCACCCCGTACCCGTCGCCGTTTGTAGGCAGTGTTACCGTCGGAGCTGTCCAAGGGAACATAGGGGCTCTGTGGAGGCTGTTGCGAGGCCACAGGGGGGTCGGTACGTCGTCGTTTTTGGGCCCTTTCCCGCATCTGGCTTATCATCCTGCGTCGGTTGGTCGTCACAGGGGTCACCTGGGACCCATAGTTGGATACCTGGGAACCCGCTGTAACTGATACCGGAGGCGGCACGAGTTGTGATCCTTGAAACAGCACAGGGTCGGGCAGCGGCACCGACAGCGACATCCGTTGGGCAGTGGCACAAACATCTTTGGCCCAGCACCACTGTCGATACAGGAGTAGTTGCGGCAGACTCGGCAGACCAGCCGAGTGCAAGGCCCGCCTGGCATGAAGGCACACACGTTGCATGAACGTTGTCCAATCCTCGCCCGCCCCTTTTCTCCTCCACATCATCTTAGCTAAGAGCTTACCCTCACATTTATGCAGTGCAGTTAGAGTACTCTGATCTGACGTCGTTCCCTCCGCTCCAAAAAAGATCTTGGCACGCACTTTGCCGTCGTATCGTCTGAGTCGGCGGATGAGCGGGATATCCCGACAACAGTAGTACCGTTTCTCATCCCAAAAGGCCCGCTCCCCGCAACTGCTACGATGGAGGACATCAACATGTGTCTGCATCATAGAACCAATCATCACACCCAGGATCGACATGCGCTGCACCCTCGGCAACTGTATAGTGACCGTAGGCGTCTGAGAAGTACGGCGCCTCTTCACAACTGAAACATGTGGCGGCATCTGGGCACCGAAGGGGGCCACGATCGTGAAGTCAACCAGGATGGGCACCTGAGGAGCGTCCTGGAACCCACAGAGCATATACTGCAGGGAGCTGGGTTTCCACGAATACCCTCTGGAGTACAAAAGCACCGACATCTGACGCACCATCATAATAAGCTGATCAGTGGAGGAAGCCCCCAGGATAACATTGTCCGCCCAGATGGCGTGGGAA